CTCACACTGTGTTCAGGCTTTGATCTATAAACACAGCATATGCAGCTGAAACCAGTTTGGCTCAGTGGATAGAGCGTCGGTCTGCGGACTGAAGGGTCCCGGGTTCGATTCTGGGCAAGGGCATGTATCTTGGTTGCAGGCAGATCCCCAGTAGGGGGTGTGCAGGAGGCAGCTGATCAATGTTTCTCTCTCATCATTGTTTCTAGCTCTCTATCCTTCTCCCTTCCTCTCTGTAAAAAATACAATATTAAACACACACACACACACACACACACACACACACACACACACAAACCAGCATATGCAAAGCCATTTGAGCTCCAAAGGCTGATATGAACATGGCTAAAAGTATTTATCTCTCACATCCAGGATATGAAAGTGACTTGAATATTAAATCACCCAGAAATGTGGACAGTGTTCTTTCGGAAAATGTTTATGGTTATAAACAAAAATGTATCCCTAATACACTGCTAGGATGTAGAACCTGGCATAAAATAGCCTTATGGAATTTCTTGCCATGCCTTTTTAAACGCCAGCAGATTTCCAACTTTCTCATAATAATGTCAGTCTAAATACCTGAGAGTCTAAAAGTAACTTTCCCTTGTGTGTCTGCATGGTGGGGCTGTGTCTCGGGGAAACCTTCAGGTTCAAGATGGGCTCTTCCCATAACAAATGCTACACCTGAGTGAGGTTGTATTATAAATGGAAACATATGTTTTCCATAAAATGGAGTAACAGCCAAAACAGTATTAATTTTATTTACTTATTTAGTCTCAAAGTATTGTTTGAAAGGGAGAAACGCATTCGATTCTTTGTTCCTGTAACCTGAAGCCCAAGTGCTGAGGTGAGCAGCCATTCTCATAAATAATAATTCCGCAGAATGGGGCCCAGGGGTGGGCCACATGGGACCACAGCCCTTAACCATCTCTATGGGCCACATGGTCCTTCTGTGGTAAAAGGGGATGCTGCCTAGACTGCATAGACGTGGCCTGGTTTCCTAGAAGCAGGCAGACTCTGGGATGGGTGGGTCATCCTTGTCTGAAACGGCCCATCCTATGAACTTGATGACAGAGAGATGCCTCCCAACTCCCAGAAGGAACATTCTCACTTTCCTCTCCCTGGTGCCTGGGGGAGGAGGAGGGAGTTCTCACAGAGCAATCTTAGGAATGTTAGGCGCTGAGCTTGGGCTCACCCACTGAGGTGGAGAACTCACTGAGGTCTCTCTGGGGGGCAAAGGACCAGATAAGGAAGAAGTCATTCCTCACCGGCTGGGAAATGTGAAACCTCAGGAATTCTCGATGATGAATTCTATTCCCGTCCAGTCTGAGGAACCCTTCTTTCTTCCCAGCAAGAGACACATGGAATAAATCACGGATGGTATGAACAATATCTGAGATAAATGCAACTGTCAGATAGCTGCCTAGGAGTCCTGCAAGAGCACGTGGTGCTGCGAGCAGCTGAGTCTGTGGATTAATTCAGGGCAACATAGTCGGGGCTCAATGTTATATTATTAGTAATAGGTGTGTGTGTGTGTGTGTGTGTGTGTGTGTGTGTGTGTGTGTGTGTGTGTTTCTTGAGCAGTGAAGGCATTTCACCAACATTTCTGTTCAGTACAAACACTAAGCCCAAGTCAAAAATGTTTACAAAGACATTAGCAAAACACTCTAATGGGGGTGCGATTTTTCTAGGCATTCCAAACACAGTTTCTAAAACCTGATTGAGAAAAATTACCTTGGATGTAGAGTGCATTATTGAACAGGGACCGTTCAGGTTAATTAAGAAAGCTGGAGGAAGGGATAGGGGAGGATCCAAGATGGCTGCACAGGTAAACACCTAACTGCAGCCAGCCGCACACAACAAATTCAATAGAATACAACTAAAATATAAAATGGACATTGCTCAGAGCTACAGGTGGTCGACTGACTGAAAATTCTACAACAAGAAGGAAAGAGAAAACCAGAAGGAAAATCAGAGGAGCTGAAAAAGCATAAGGTACAGAGACATGCTGTGCGCGCACAGAGAGGACGGAGCCGGAGAGGAGAGGAAGGCTGGGTGCCTGCCTGGCGTTCCCTAGCAGGAAGGAAATAAAAGCCCCGGACTGGGCTGAATCCCAGTTCCGACTGCTCTGAACCCCAGTTCTAGGCCAGACCCTGGGGACCCAGGCTCAAACAGAGGGAGATGGGGCTGTGAGGCAGAATCCCAGGGGAGCGGCGAAAAGCAGAGCCCCCGGAGTCGCGCACATTGTGCACAGAGGACAGACCGTTGACTCTGATGCTAGACTGCCCTCGCGGGAAGGAGAAAAAAGCTCCAGTCTGGGAAGAATGCCATGAGGAGCAGGAGCTACTACCAGACACCGGCCAGCCAGGCGCCGGCAAGGAGCCGGGCGACAGGGCCCCCAGGGGGGGCGCCGCTGGGCCCTCAACTGCTGATCGCGGGCCACGGAGCCAAGGCCGGGGGCTGCTTCCTGGGCGGCGCTGACCCCGGCAACAGGCTGAAGCCACGCAGGAGGCCGCCGAGAACAAAGGGGCACTGCAGGCCAGCCTGCTGAGCTTCCAGGACAAGGAGGAAGAAACCGAAGAAGTTTTCAATGTGAAGAAATCAAGTTATAGCAAAAGATAGTAAAATTACGTAAGAAAGAATACAAAGAAGTTCTTGAAAAATCGAAGACTAAGTCAGAACTCAACTCACCAGCCAACACTGCAACATAAATGAGTTCTAAAAAAAAAAAAAAAAAAAAAAAAAAAAGGACAGAATGTTGGAACAGCGGCGGCCAGGCCTAGAGTGGCCAGGCACAAGGCAGTGGCAACCGGGCCCGGAGCAGCAACAGCCAGGCCCCAGAGCAGCAGCAGCCAGAACCAGAGCAGCAACAGCCAGGCCCAGAGCAGCCGGGTCGGGTGTGGCCAGGCCCGGAGCAGCAGCAGCCAGGTCGGGAGAGACCAGGCCTGGAGCGGTCGGGCCTGAAGCAGCCGGGCTCAGAGCAGCCGGGCTCAGAGCAGCCAGTCCCAGAGCAGCAGCAACCAAGCCCGGAGCAGCCAGGTCAGGAGCTGCCAGGCCTGGAGCAGCAGCAACCAGGCCTAGAGTGGCCGGGCCCGGAGCAGCCGGGCCCAGAACAGTCGGGTCAGGAGCAGCCAGGCCCGAGCAGCAGCAGCCAGGCCGGGAGCAGCTGGTTGTGGAGCTGACCAGAGCAACAGAGGCCAGGCCCTGAGCAGCCAGGCCCGGAACAGCTCGCTCCTCACCTGCCCATGCCCCAGGGCTGCCTCTCAGACATGGCTGGAAACTTTTGGGGGAACTTTAGGGTCTGCTCAATCAAGTGATGAAGGCTTAGATGTGGATGTGTTGAGATATTATAGCGCTTGGGTGTTGATCTGTGAGTGCCTCGTGTGGGGTCTGGATGAGGTTGGTTGATCTATTTGGAAATGTCTTTTGTGTGAAGTGTATCCTTGGGCATGTGGAGGTATTATTGATTTGAGAAAATGCTAAGTAACTGATTTACTACCTGAAAAGTTTAAAGTTCTGAAAGTTTAAGGTCTCTTGCCAAAAAGAGGTTTTAAAGCTAACACCTTAATTTTAATGGAGAAAGGGGAGAACAAGCCCTTCCCACCCAGAACAGGTAATCCAATTCCAACCAGCAGCTATCTTTAAACAATGTGTTCATTTACATTTGAATGGCTATACCTTTTGATAGCCTAAGGGCAAGTTTACATGTAAACAAGTTTGCTTCTCAATTCCCAGGGCAGAAAAAAACAAGGTTTAAAATTATTAGATTTTAAAATTTATTCTTAGAAGTGTAAAAGTTTATTAATTAAAAAACAACAACAACAACAACAACAAAAAGGAGATTGAAAAACCTGATGAACAATATTAGCTGTTGATTGTAGTGGAGTCGGAGATACGGGAGGGGAGTGGACTGACAGTTCTCAGGGAAAGGGGGAGTGGTGGATGCGGGAAGAGACTGAACATAAACTGTGCACTTATGGATTTGGACAATGGGGGGTGGGGAGAGGGCGGAGGGTGGGGTGGGAACTTGGTGGAGAGGGGAAGAAATGAGGAACCTTTGTAATAATATGAACAATAAAGATTGATTTAAAAAACAAGAAAGAAAGAAAGAAAGAAAGAAAGAAAGAAAGAAAGAAAGAAAGAAAGAAAGAAAGAAAGAAAGAAAGAAAGAAAGCTGGAGCCCTCAGAGGATTTTAAATTATATTTTTTTATTGATTTCAGAGAGGAAGGGAGAGGGAGAGAGAAAGAGAACCATCAACAATGAGAGAGCATCATGCATTGGCTGCCTCTTGGAAGCCCCGGCTGGGAATTGAACCATGACCTCCTGGTTCATAGGTCAACACTCAACCCCCGGGGCACACTTGCTGGGCCCCAGGGGATTTCGAGCAGCTTTTTTGTTGCCCGAGGGAACAACGGGATAGAAATGTGGTGTAAATGTTTGGAAAGGGGGTGATTTTCCAGATTGTGAAAAAGGAAGCCATCTGAATGCTTCCATGTGAATTCAAAAGAGAGATACTTTTAAAAAATATATATTTTATTGATTTCTTATGGAGAGGAAGAGAGAGAGGGATAGAGAGTTAGAAACATCGATGAGAGATAATCATCGGTCAGCTGCCTCTTGCACATCCCCCACCTTGGATGTGCCCACAACCAAGGCACATGCCCTTGACCGGAATCGAATCTGGGACCTTTCAGTCCGTAGGAGCCAAACCAGTTTCGGCTAAAAGAGAGATACTTTTTAATTTTAGGTAAAACGTGGGCCCTCAGACCTCTTAGCTCTTCTGTAAATTGGCTTTTGGGAACTCACAGTAAGCCTTCCATTTGCTCTTATTTGATCTAGAAGCAAATGGTGACCATCAAGAGGAAAACGGGTCAATTTTACGAGAACATGTGGGACAGACGCCTTCATCCTTCAGATTTCCGCCTCGCACTGTTTGCTCCCTCTGTGTGCTCAGTGGCTTCTCGTGCCAGGCGGCTAACGCCCGGTCCCCTTTGTCTTCCAGCTGCCTCGGGTGTGGACACTCTGGCGGTGTTTATGGCCAGCAGCGGCACCACGGATGCCACGCATCGGAACGGCCCGGTCACCCCACCCAACACCCTCCATCTCCGCTCCTCCCACAATGAGCAGCTGAACGCCGAGATCAAGCACACGGGAGCCAAGGACAGCACCCCCCCCAAATGCAGGAAGAAGTATGCCCTGACAAACATCCAGGCCGCCATGGGCCTCTCCGACCCCGCCGCCCAGCCTCTGCTGGGCACCAGCTCGGCCAACATCAAGCTGGTGAAGAACGGGGAGAACCAGCTGCGGAAGGCTGCCGAGCAGGGGCAGCAGGACCCCAACAAGAACGCCAGCCCCGCCGCCGTCATCAACATCACGTCCGAGAAGTTAGAAGGCAAAGAGCCCCAGCCGCAGGGTTCCCCGGCCTGTGACCTCTTACCCTCCCAACCCAGGAGAACCAAGAGCTTCCTCAACTACTATGCAGACCTGGAGACCTCCACCAGGGCGCTGGAGCCGGACCCGGTCCGGGAGGTGGAGAAGGCCCCGCCGGGCCAGGGCCAGGCCTCCCCCGGCGTCATCGGGAACGGGGACACGCCACCGCAGAAACCAAACAAGTCCCAGTTCAGCCCCGAAGATGGCCCGGTCGCCACCGTGTCGTCCAGCCCCGAGACCAAGAAGGACCATCCGAAGACGGGGGCCAAGACGGACTGCGCCCTGCACCGGATCCAGAACCTGGCGCCCAGCGACGAGGAGTCCAGCTGGACCACCCTGTCCCACGACAGCGCCTCGCCCAGCTCCCCGGACGAAGCAGGTACTCCTGGGGAAGGTGTGTGTGTATGGGGGGGATGGCGGGGGGGGGGGGGCACTTGTTTTTTGGTATTTTCCATTATTGATGGAATTCATCTCCAGACTGACTCAGAAAATCCATTTGTGGCCAGAAGAACATGATCCTTTGGGGTAACACCAGGCCATTTGTGTGGCAAATGGATCCTTGAACGGTTTTACTTTGATTCATGGGCACGTCGTTCTTTCTGGGAAGCGGTGTCGTAGAAGAAATAGGTCCTTGGCAGTAGGTACGGTAAAACATCATCTGTTCAGCCCCTGGGCTGCCAGTGCTTAGGTGAACCGTTTCTTTCTGCCATCTACAAATAGCGGGTTTTGTTGAGCAAAATAATAAAAGGAATACCGTTGCCGGGGACAAGATATAACCCCGTTAAGAGAACCAGCTATTTTAAAGTTCTCAGCTGAATGTGTTTATGTTCAAGGTAATGAACATTTGAAAGTCCGGTTAGTAAAAGCCATCTCCCTTTTGACTTTTCCTGGGGAACATTTTATTAGTCTTGGGTAAGGGATAGTTGAAAATGAGAAAGGGATGTTCCTTTTAAAATATGCTCAGCAGTTAAGGACAAAAGTCAATCAGATCAAGCTAATCTGATTGACTTTTGTCCTTATCAATAACGTCTTCAGACGTGTCCAAGGAGTCAAGACTGTGACAGAAATAAACAGGTCCCTAAATGGGGGCTACTTTTAACCTCGGTTTTTCACAGCCCTCCACTAGACTGACCATAACACTGACCGATGTGGAGAACATTGTTGTATCTGAAGTCAGTGTAAACAAGCACTCGCAAAGGCGTATTTCTGTAACATACGGTAACCTTGCAGACACCCCGGTGGGCTCCTGTGTGCGTGTGATGGATAGAACCATCAGGGAAGGAAGTGACATTTCCCCCTCCTCTAGGGCAGAGAAACCACAAGGACTATGGGCGAGGAAAAGGGAAGGGAAAAGTTAAGACGTTAACTTGTTTTTAAAAGGTTTTTGAAATGCCCTTTAAGAATCACAGTACTTTAAACGATTCCATCCGCCTGCTGCAGCTGGTAATGGCAGCGGGGAGGTTGAGGTGAGTATATTTCATCTTGGAAATGTCTAGACCTGCTATTATTGGGACCATAATTATGCTTGGTAATGTGACTGAGTTCACAAGTCTATTACTTTTCATGCATTGAGAGAATTCATATCCTATAGCTGATGGCGCTGTCACCTGCTGGTGTTTGAATCCATAGAGATAACTGGAGTATCTCACACACACCCTAACGTGACCTCCTGTTTTCACTCTTCTCCTCCTGCCACTCCGGCTCATGCAGACGTGGCTGCTGTCTGTGGTGGTTCCATGTTAAATTTTGCTGGAAGTTATTTAAGAACAGTAAGGTCTCCTCTGCTCCTCACTCTTGACTCTTTTCCCAATGACGACCACCACTTCTTTTCTTAAAGTGTTTTCTAGCAAAAAAATTTTATGCTTATATCCACATCTATAATAAATTTTAAAATATACCCAGTTTTTACTGTAAAAGGATATGAAGAAACTTTCTCGGTAGATGGAAATGTGTAGTGGAAATGTATGGTTGTAGACGTTTCTCAAAAGTCTTTCAGAAGTTTATGTCACAATGATAAAATACGAGTGTAAATCCCTTTACAAAAAAATAAAATATATCCAGATTTTATGATAATGATGTTGTTAATGAGTCCCTACTTTTTAGAGATATACTATTATACTACTATATAGAATGGTGTAATATATAACCGTGGTCAGCAAACTGTGGCTCTACAGCCACATGCGGCTCTTTGGCCCCTTGAGTGTGGCTCTCACAAAATACGATGGCCTGGGCGAGTCTATTTTGAAGAAGTGGCGTTAGAAGAAGTTTAAGTTTAAAAAATTGGGCTCTCAAAAGAAATTGCAATTGTTGTACTGTTAATATTTGGCTCTGTTGACTAATGAGTTTGCCGACCACTGATATATAATATAACATAACATAATATAAACTAATATAAATAATAGTCAGTATGGATTTTTTTCCAAAATAATTGGAGTGGGGATAAAAAATAAAAATAAAAAAACACAAAAATTGCCCATAAGCTGAAATTTAGATGGTTAGAATCTCTAGCCCCATCGCTCATGCGGAGTGCTGGTGTCGGGAGGGTCTCCGGAGAGCTCAGAGTTTTGCTGAAACGTGCAGCCCTCTCCACCCACTGCGGCTCTCGGGTCCCTCTGCTCACCACCCCCGCTCAGTGCCCTGGCGGCCCTTCCTGTGGCTTCTCTATGTGACTCATTGCAGTGTGCGCATCGTGGGAGCTGGGTGAGGGTTTTCTGACATGTGGAGGGATATGTTCATTTTTCTCCCTGAAAGTCGGTTTTGAAGACCTTAGAATTTTAACGTATGGGTGACAGTATGGTGATGGCCCTGAACGGGCTGCTCAGGATTGACCGTTTGAATCGAATACGCTGGGAAGAGTGTGTTAGCTGTGACTCAAAAGCAGTGAGACTGAGTTTTTTAAAAACATACTGGAGACCAAACCTGTGCTGTCCTTCGAAATGATCCCTCTGGGATCTCTGTGCCTATTCCAGCATGCTGCAGTGCCTCCAGATATTAATCCTATGTAATAAAAGCATAATATGCTAATTAGCCCGGATATCCTTCTGGACGACCTTCCGGACACGAAGCCCGGGGCTGCAAAGGCTGAGGCAGAGGTGGTTGCTGTGGCGGGTGGGCCAAGCCCCTTGCATGAATTTTATCCATTGAGCCTCTGGTCCTTTATAATAATCCTATATAATAAAGAGCTAATATGCTAATTAGACCTGATGGCAGAACGGCCTTCTGGGACAACCTTCCGAAATGACCAGTGGGTGTGGCCAGACTCGCCTCAAACTCCCACTGCCATTTTCACAAGGCAAGGCAGCCAGGGCCTAGAGGTTTGAGGCACTTGGGGCCTCGAGGGCCTTCCCTTGCACAGATTTCATGCATCGGGCCTGTAGTATCAATAATATCTGGGAATTCACGCCGAAACCGGTTTGGCTCAGTGGATAGAGTGTTGGCCTGTGGACTGAAAGGTCCCGGGTTCGATTTCCGGTCAAGGGCATGTACCTCGGCTGCGGGCACATCTCCAGAAGAGGGTGTGCAAGAGGCAGCTGATCGATGATTCTCTCTCATCGATGTTTCTAACTCTTTATCCCTCTCTTTGTAAATAAATAAATAAATAAATAAATAATTAATAAAGTATATTAAAAAAACAATATCTGGGAATTCTGTTGGAATTTCCTGAGAGCCAGTTGTGAACGCCAACTGAATAGAAACCTCTACTTCATGATCAGAATTTGGAGTTTCAGGTTGTGACCATCATATAAGTTAGTGAGCGAACTAAAATTGCTTTTGATTTCATCTTTCCTGTGAAGCATAGTGTGTAGAATGATCACAATTAGCTTACATTAAACATTGTATGTTTCACTTCTAATAGCAAACTTGATGTTTATTCCGTATATTTTATATATAATAGTATGCCCATGTTTCTATGTAATACACACAAACACCGATTATTGAAGAAGAAAAAAACGGGAGCAAACATTTTGTAAAACACGAGTATGCCCCGTGATAGTTCACACATAGGAAAAGGGTATGTGCGTCTTCGCGGTGTATTAAGTAATTACTCATCGCTGGGGTGTGCGTCCTGTGGCTAAATCAGGATGGCACAGTTACCTTTGCGTTGTAGACTGTGTGCTTTGGGGAAGCCTAGGAAAAGAGAACAGACTCATCCCTACCTCAGGGGCCTCCTTTCCAAGGTAAAGGCTGTTTGTAAAGTAAAGAGTACTGACTGATTCTAAGATTCTCCATTTCCTATTTGCCTTTCTGAATTGCCCCTTCCAGCATCTTAGTAACTTTTTTTTTTTTGCACAATCCTGTGTGTATAATATGTGCTCCTCTGCCTCCTTTCTGTCCTTTGAGAAAACAAGAGGCTCTTCTATAAAAGGAAAGCATCTATGAAAAGACTGAGTTTCAAAAAGTCCAGAAGCATGCCTTCTCCTACATTCTAAAGGAAAAGCATCGGTAGTTGAGAGGGAGGACTTTGAATCCGTTAGAATTTGGCCTGAGGTTCCGCCTCCTCAGTGGCTCCAGTAAACTCAGGTCCATTGGATTGTGTATGTGGTCTCTCTGCTAATCACCTGGTGTCATGTTTGCTTCATGGAAACTTGTGGAAGAGGCAACCTTTTGGTGCTACCTGGTACAGTTGCTTTGCATGGCAGCTGGTCCCTGCTGCTCAGGAATTTGAGTCCTTTGATGTTACAAATTGATGGGCAAACAAAGGGGAACTCTTTTGCAAACTTGATTATGTCAGTCTCATCTGGCAGCACTTTTTATTTCTGGCCTTAGCTAGCTAAGAGTGTTAGAACATTAGGTACGTTCATATTAACACTTTTAGGAACTTCTAAATGTTCCTTTATGTCACATTGCTCTGGTAATTTCAACCATAAATAATTCTTAAATTGCTTTTTAAAAGCTCCCAAGCCCTTTAAAACGAAAAAAAAAAAAAAAAAAAAAAATTCCAGGATATCGGAATTGCTGTTTTCAGCTGGTTTGCCCCCATTGAATTTCAGTCTTTTAAACACTCTTTAGTGATTCCCTGGCCTTCCTGTCCTGTCTTCTCAGTTGACAGTTCCGTGATGTGACAGGAGGAATTCGAGGAGACAGATATGAGACGTTTCCAAAATAGTCTGGACACATTGTGTCCTGGGGTGGATCATGTGATTTCCAAATTAGATTTTTAGTACCTTGGGAGTAAGATGTATAAAAATATTTCTTATCTCATCCCCGTGAACTTAAGGAAGAAAATGATTTTGCTCAATTACATCTTTTTAGAACATTCTAGAAAAAAAAATTTATTCGATTGAATATTTGATTGTCTTGTATTATAAAATATTATACTCGATGTTTTGGGATGGGGGAGAAAGATAAATATTATAAAAGGAGCCGTAGCAAAAATCT